TTATATATAATATATACAATGTTGAAAATTATTAACAGATAGTTTTACACTAATTATTTACTCTAACAAAGACTCTAACACAGAACATGCATATTAAGTATTAATATTAGGTATACATAAGTCCCATTATTCCTAAATCACATAAGAATAGATAGATTTTCATGAGTAAGGACTCCTGATACACAAGTATTTTTTTTTTGCATGAACGCAAAGTTTAGTTTATCTCTTTACTAACTTTAATCCCAACCCAAGTCTTTTCTCTCAAGAATTCTCAGACACTACCTAATTTAAAATGGAAACGTATGTTATTCTTTTACACTATAAATCAGACAGGCTTAAAGACTAAAAAGAAATCATTTTTCTTGTACAAGTAACTGGAAAATGTTTTATTAATAGTTTCACAAATATTTTCGCCAAAGCTTTTGTATATAAAATATATATAATAAATCTGTGGTTCACTTTGTTTAAATATTGTATCTAAATCTCTGTTAGTCATTAAAAATTCAACAGTTGACTAACGATAATGGAACTTTTTCTAAACATTGTCATTTTATCTTCTACATATTTTAAAGAAAGTTAGTAGCTTTCTTAATATACCTAAATCGTTTCTTATATGATAAAATGGCACAAAAATTAAATTATGCATGAACAGCAATATCAATATTATAACGGTGTTGAATTTAATGAAATTTAAGGTTTTAGATTTTAGAGATATTCATTAATAAGTCACAAGGACAACTACTTACTGATAATTAAAATTACCCGCATCCTTGAAAAATATATAGACAAAAGTATATGAAACATAATATTGATAAATATAAGTCTTTACATTAACATTAACTTACACCCTATTCTGAAAATTTATGTATTTATGTATAAGCTTACTTCCAAGAATGATACAAAGTAAACACTTCTTAGCAAGTTGTTTGCACAGCAAATTCATATAAAAAAATACCTACTCCGATCTCCTTGAAAGAGCTACTTATACTAAGAAATGTCGATTTCATTATATCTAAGCTTTTCATTTAAACATTGACTTTACTGGCTAAGTAAACTGATTCAGCATTTAGAAAATTCTATTAAAATTGTAAAATAAGAATACCAATCCGAAGTTTTCTATTAGTAGGTAATTTGGAGTATGTGTCAATGTTTTCCTATTATACTAAATCTATTTGCCGATTTTTGTGTCTATGTTTGTTTATAAAACGTTTTAATGGCAACTTCCTACGATTCTTGTAAAATCAAGAGGAAAGCCCCTTATAAAAACCAAAATAAAATAAATGGTCATGGTAATATAAGTAATAATTATACCATGTTTTTTACATTGTATAATTTGTTAAAATAAAAACTCTATACATACCACTTTCATATATAAATACATATTTTTTTAAGTTCTTAATTTATAAAATAAATTCAATTTACAAGTTACGGGAACTGTTCCAGCTGTGTCACATTTGATTCTGTTCTGATTAATGGATACCCTCAAGTTTTCCTAAAAGGTTAATGACAAATGGTATACAGACTTCTCTCGCTCTCTTTGAATAAAGTAAACCTCTGGTAATAAAAAGACGAGGAACAAATGACTCAAATGTGTTAAATAAAAACATTTTTGTGTTCAAATACATTATACGAAGGTAGTAAAAATATTGAACAAGAAAACTGAACAATTTAATTTAAAAACAGTAAAGTGTGGATACAAGATTAAAAGTATAACTGTCTAAAGGCAAAAAAGAATGAGCCATTAAAGTTTCCGCCAAAAGTAAGAGCAGTGGATGTAGTTTTGCAATATTGCACTGCAATCTAAGACATTTAAAGTAACTTTTAGAGATGTTCATATAAAAACTTGCAGTATACAAATTTAAGCCATTATTATTTTTGGAGAACCAAATATATTTTAAAATAAAATTGAATGTTTCTCATAAACCTGCTAATAGTATGTATGAAAACCTAAGAAGAATGTATTAAAAAAATTACACGTTTAGTCAGACACCGTACCTATATCAGGGATTCGGCAGATAATAAGTTCAGAGGGGTGTACATAAAATGGCCAACTGGATATTTAACCAATAACCCAATTGCTTACAAGATTAAATTTTTTAAAGACATCTCGAATCGATAGCAATCACGACCAATCATATTTGTAAGTTAATTTAAACCAAAACTCGTCGTCGTCGTCGTCATCAGCCTATCAGCGCCCACTGGTGAGCAAAGGCCTTTTTCTCACATGGAAAAGGTTTGAGCATTAATCATCACTCTTGCTCAAGACGGGTTGGTGATTTCAAACTTATAATTGTGAAATTATAAGTCCAGTTTTCCTAACGATGTTTTCCTTCACCGTATCTTATACTCGCAGTTGTCAAATTAATTTTTCATTACCGGTCAGTATAATTTACAGTTACAGGCTGGTCTTAGTCGCTGGTCTAGTGTACGAAAAGTGGAGTGGTGACTTACATACAAACAGTTTGAAAAAAAAGAGATAAACACAAATTTTCACCCACTAGTTTTGGCTACAAAAGAAATAAATAACACGCATTTTTTTTTGGTTTAAATCGAATATCCTTTATCTTTTCGTGTCTAGTAAACTGACTATCTGAAGGCCAAATAATTACAAAATATATTTTTTTGCATTTATAAACCTCTTTTGTCATGCGCCCATTAATGTTTGCTAATTAAATTTGTTCGTGAAATCAATTACGTTATTAAAAGTCAACAAGAAGAATTTCTCTATCACCAGTGAAATTATTTAATTTACGTGAAATATACTTTTGCGAGTAAGTTATAAAATATATAATATAAAACCAATAGCAAATTGTTATTTGCTTTTTGCCATTTTTGTTAACCGTTCTAAAATCAAGTTACGGGAAAGAATGGTATATATAACACGTACCTTAGGGTTATTTTTATCTAGGTCTTACAAAGGTAAGTCTTCACAAAGTTAGCTTAAATTGTACATTACATATACAATATTAAACAGTATACATAAATGTATTTTTATATCAAAGTTGAGGAAAGAGCCGTGGGCCTACTTGACGGATGATACTTAAAGTCGCCCATAGATATCTGCAACATAAAGGATGCTGCCGACATTTTGCGGACTTTGATTTAGGAAGAGGGAGAGGAAAGAGTGTAAAAAAGGAAAGGGGAAAGCCCTTAAAGACTTTTTCAAGCTGATCTTCTGTAAGAGAGTGGTACTTTCCTGGTTGAGCCAATCTTTGTTAGAACTATAGTAACTTGACCACGGCACAGCTAGGTTACACTACTATTAGATACATATATATATGGTATATATACATGTACCATATGTGTGTATAAAGTATAATATATACATATGTTCTAGTTGTTGTAATAGACTTAGTGCGTGTGAACTTCGGAAATACACTCGGAAAAAGTCTGATGCGTGTTTTTTTAGCCACGTTTTATAGTAACTTGTATTGTCTTTGGCGTTTTATGTTGGCGTGTGTCACGTCACACATGAATATGTATGTATGAAAATGTCCATCTCCTGTTTCTAAGCAACCTCCCCACAAATTTACAATCAAATCTGTATAAGCAACAAACACGTCTTTCTTTTATGTGTATGAATATATAATATTATTTACAAATTCAAACAAACAAACAAAAGTGGGGATATAAAAACGCAATACGAACCTTTTAAAAAGATTAGTCATGCAATCAGTAGCTGCGATATTACAACCTCAATATTTTCATTACAACTTATTTTAAATCGTGAATCTTCCCATTTAATCCCATCTTAGACTCTACATTATTATTCTCATTGTAAATCGATATTTTTTTTCCTCTTGAAAAGAATAATAGTCCAAAAATGTTAAGTTAGATGTTTCATAGGAATTATAATCATAATGGCAGGAATAAAAAAACCGTTGTACGGTATCACAATTTAATGGACAAAACTTATAAAGTGTACATAATTTATTGAGACAAATTGGTAAAGATATCGTTTTAGTACGAATATAATTAATTAATAAATGTTGACATTTATAATAAACTCTTACACTCTAAAAGACATATTGTGATCAAGTTCAAAGAGTAAAGGCTAATTTCTAAGGTGAACGATTTAAGTCATCCACCAATACACATTGGAATGATTAATATATTGAAATAGAAAGATATGTAAATCGTACCTACACACGTAGAAATGACTAGAAAATTTAAGTTTAATATAATAGGAAAAATATTTTTCTATAGATATAACTTCTACTAAATATTATGATAATTTTAATTTGTAAATTTATAAATTAAGCGTTCTTAAAGTAATATCATATTTCTCTTGTATTATTTGATTACTATTCTTTTATATTTCATATAGTGATATAAAATAGATAGTGTTATTTGGCATTTTGCTCCCATAACTTACATAGTAAATTTTAATGTGTTTGAAAATATTTTAGGTGCTATTAAGTAATACATATGGTTATTCAATTGGCACCAATTAATAATTTGACTTAAATTGTATTTTTTTTTATTTTATTGAATAGGCAAAATTAAAATAGAACAACATTAAATGTACATTTTTAACGATATACATCTTAGGCTCGATTGAAAATGCAATATAAAATATTTACGCTGAAGAGGGCTCGTTATATCTCTTAAGCTAGAATCATCAATAGCTCAAAGAATGCTAATATAAAAATCTATCAGATTACGAACTTTTGAGAAACAGTTTACTTTCACAAGTATAGAATTAAAAAGCACAAGAAAAACACTAAAATTTTGGTTTAAATATCGCTCTCAAGCAATCCGGGTCGTTTTGGACGCACATAATCCAACAGCTCAATTTCTTCCACATCTCGAGATGAACCAGCTCCTTTAAAGCCGTTATGTCTTTGGACTTTCCGTCTTGTTTGTGGATCATCAAGTCCATCCCTTGTTTGATCATCTCGACGTGTATTCCTATCGTCATCTAGTTTCAAGAGTTCTATATCAACACCAGTCTCATCAGCATCGACCGCTGTCTTGCTAGGACAGCGGTCTAGCTCATGTCAGGAGGCTTTCATTTCGGCCAATATATGCTCGTCTTCGTGTAAATTTTTCTCAGCCAAGCGGAAGCTTTCTAGGAACTCGTTAAGATCAACAAGGCCGTCTTTATTGATATCCATTAAACGACATATGTCCACCAATTGTTCCTGGGTCATCGGATTTGGCATGTATTTTCCAAGTAATTGACATGCTTCAGAAAATTCTTCCAATGTTATAAAGCCTGCAAAATATATTGGAAAATATAAAAAGGAAATAAAAAACAGTATGTTCAATATTGATGTGTTCTGATTTGACTAACAATTAATATAACGATATCATATTTTTGGCAATAAAAATTTTCTGTAAATTTGTAAACATGCAATATAGGCGATGTGGACTCCGCAAAAAAAAAAACATTTACAGTTTAATAAGAAATACAATATTCAAAATTTAAAACTCTAAATTTAAAACTCTAAAATTCAAAATTTAAAACTAAAAATTGATAAAAACTGTGAATGTGTGCATATATGAATAATTGTTTTTATTATATTTATCCACGTTTATTAAGACTAATTAGGATTTATGTTCTGTATATTTGTCAAGCAATCAAATATTTTCCAAAGAAGCTATCACGATAAATGTAATATGTATAAGTAGATTAAATAATCTTGCAATAATATTTATTAAATGAAAAAAAGAAATTAAATTCATGTACATTGTACCTGAATTATCCTTGTCGAGTATTTTAAATATTGCTTCCAAGCTTCTTTTATTTTTGTATAATGTTTCAACCACTGTCTGCGCATCAGATTTCCTGCCAATTTTCTAAAAAAAATAATAATATTTGCACTAAAAGGTTATCTCCACTTGTCAGACATGAAAATCGGGGAAAATAAAAGAGAAATATTGTGAATTGGGTATACACAACAAAACAACAACAGAAACAAAAATAGTATGCGAGCAGTTATTTCGTTTTAAGTTTTTTTTTCGGGTATTGTATAACAATTGTACATACCACTTTGAAATATTGACAACTAGGTTTTTTCCTTTTTAATATTATTCTGTTTTTAATGACTCACATTAGCCAATAAATCGAAGGTATCCATGTAACGAACTCGGCGTGTGTCAGGGTCAGTGCGAACCAGCTTATCTTTTAGCATACGCCACGGCAAACCCAAGTGAGTGGTCTCCTCCATAGCGTAGCACCAATCACTTATAGAAATAAATCCTAACACAAAGGAGACAAGTCAATATTAAATTCAAACATTTATTTTCAACGACAATTAATCAAACCAAAGTTTCAGAAATGTTTGCGGTTATGTTATCTCTGATTCATAAACCGCATCTCTGATAGAAACCTCTGATTAATAGATGAACAAGTTTGTCTAAACCTAACAATACATCAGAAATGACTTTGAAACAATATAATCATTGACCCTTATCTTATATAACTTTAGTTAATAAAAAGGAAGTTTTTGCTTAATTCTTATTGCCTTCATATTTATTTAATACTTAAAATAAACTGATAACAAAATGAAAAAGTAATATTTAAAAATATTAAGAATGAATAAGATGTTCAAACCGCTCTGATCCAAATCCATGCTTCTGAATGTAGCTTCCAAGGTTCTCCGAGCCGTCATGATGTGACTATGCAGTTCCCTCATTGCTGACGACTCAACTAGCCCGACTCGCTGACGGAAGGTCAAACGACGTGTGCGAGATACTGCTGCTGTGTACTGTACAAACTGACGGTCCAGCGCATTACCGCAGAGCTTCAGATACGCACCTTTGTTGGAGCCGAGCTCGTAATAATTAGAAGCAGAAAAGATGGTTATAACCTGAAATAAATACAACACAATTATTTCGATATAAGTGTCTTAAAAAAAGAGATATATAATTTTTTCTCACATTGCCATCATGAAGTATTTCGTAACCACCGGGTTTGCATTCATGACTTCTGATGATGAAGCTGAGTTTGTTCTTATTTAGGAAAGAGGTAGTGACATCGGGGCCGAAATATGTGCCAGCGCCGCGAAGAGCGTTTGCCACACATCCACCTGTACTTTGAGGATCGGACCAGAGGATGTCAAAAACCTACATGCAGAAATTCAAATTATTTTTCACTTTCAAAACTGTGGGCAAATATTTTAGCGCAATTTTATAAACATTAAAGACTCATATTTTGCTTGTATACAAAAAGTTCCTTTTTATATTTTTTCCCCACAAAATATATTCATACAATATTAATAATAAGCATCACATTCATTGTTATTGCGAAATGCCTTAAAAAGTCTCTTAAATCGCCTAAAAGTTTCCATACATTTAAGCCTGTCATTTCCATTACATACAAATCACGAGCACATTACAAATGTACATAATAAAAATATTTTTATTGTTGTTGTTAAATTAATTTTGTGAATTTCGTTTACGTAGATACATTATTGTTGTATAAACCTGTAACCGTCATTAATTCAAATACGATTCTTTGTAACTTAAATTAGAAATAACTTTTCTGTAATGCCTTAAATACCGTTCAGTCTAAATTTGAATAATTGTAAGATAAGAGATTGATGTAGATGTATTTTATTATTTTGATGGTTTATTTTTATAAGAACTTTATATTAGTAGTCCTATTTGTAAAGAATAGATACTTAAAGAATTGTTTAAGCATTTATTAAATTAAATAATTGGAAGATACTAGATTTATGAAGATTTATTTTATTATTTTGATGGTTTGTATTTATGTATAACAACTTTATTATTTACTATTTGTAAAGAATAGATACTTAAGGAAAATTGTTTAAACTTTTATTAAATTATATTTTCTAGTTCAGGTACCTTAAATAACCTTTACAAATTGTATGATTCAAAATCCTCTTTGTTTTCCACTTATATAAAATAATTAAAGTAATCTACATAAACAATGCACTTATTTTAGGGGAACAATGAAAGGAGTGGTTCAATATTTAATCATTCTCTTAGGAACAAATTGTACACAATAATTAACGTTCCCTCACTTTATGGACTTCCTTCAAAGATACAAGTTTAATTCTAACAAGATACAAGTTTAAAACAGTTAAAAGAATCGTTTTTGAATTTTAAAAAAATGCAGTTTTTTCAAAAATGTTGATAGCCGTTTCCTATTAATGAAAAGATAACAAAGGATATTCTGATTACATAGGTATATTTAAATTAAAATAACTTGTCTGGTAAAACTTGAACGTTCTCATAAAATGTACTGAAATATTTATATTTACCTTATCTAAGCTAGAAGGTAACATAAACTTAATATCTTTCTAATCACTTAATACTTTTAGGTATGAAATAATAATGGGATTAATAATTAAGCAAATAGACAGTTAATTCTATAAGATATATAGATATAAGACTTTTGGTATAACAAAAAATTATTACAACTCCTATTAATTCATATCAATATTAGTAATGAAATTGAATGAATTTATCAAATTTTTTAGAAGTTAAAATAAAAAGAAGCTCAAACAAAAACATGACCTTATTGTAGATATAATTGACATCCACGCAAACAAAAATAGGAATAAACTGTAGAAGCGTAAACAGTCTTTTTATTAATTGTATTAGATTTTGATGAAAAAATTACAAAAAAGTAATTTAATATATCTATAAAAAAGAAAGGTCCGAAATTCTCCACACCTAGCAATTTATTACCGTACTAGAACTTCTAAATATACATAAATTAATAGAAAACTGATATCTATGGAAACTTCAACTTGTTTTATCATCTGAATTTCTTTTTAATTATAATGCAGGTTAAAAGTAAAAGACGAGAAAATACGAAAGTAAAATTGCGAAAGTAAATAAAAAGCACAATTTTAAGGATTTCTTTAAAAACACAACTTTACTTTAGTTTGACATTAATAAAATTTAGGATATTAAAATGTCTACTTTGTATAACCAGTTCGAGTTTAGATATAGGTTTTTATTACATATATGTAAGTGAGCGATTGAGAACTCGTCTTGTTTCTCAAAATTCCATCGGTCTAGAGAGAAAATTAGATTTACTTCATCGTGTGTACGAGAGAAACCTCTTATGCCTAATAATCAAGCATCAGAGCCAACCTAAGGGTAAAGATGTTTATTACATTCAGAGGTAGCGAACGTAATTATCTGGCTAGTGATTTATAGGGAGTCTAAAGCTTTGTGAGCTTCACCAGAGTGAGTTTGTTTAATTTATCTTATCTACTCAACACTTCAAGTTTGATACAGTAATAACGTCAATTATCTTTCTTGTCCCTTTCTTCAAACACGAATAGATCTTAACCTGAATGTCAATTTAGTTTTAGGGGTATATAAAAGTTAAATAATATTACATTGGAATTTGGAAAAAATATTAGTAATAATTAAAACTTGTAAAAATAATATGTATTATACTATTTAAATAAGTTTTAGATTCTATAACACAACTTCTATTAGGATACCCAAATTTCCTGGACTCAGAAGACGTATTTCCGAAGTTTATGCATAAAATATATTTCAGAACCCAAATATGATAAATTCAGTCTGAAGGCCGGCCAGTATGAATTTAAACTTAAACTCCTAACTGCATTTACGAGTTTTGTTGGCTTAGATAGTACTATCGTAGAAACTATTATAAAAGTTTGAATCCATCGTCTTCTACAGCAAATAGCATTGATTAATGAAAATATATAGTGACATTTTGAACAAATATAAAACCTTTTACTACGTGACTACTTTTATGTATCACTGGTTCGAATGAAAAATTTAGTTTCAATCTCGTGATCTCGTAGAATTCTTTATACAAGAAATTGACTATTTTATTCCCGAACTAAAGTCACGTCTATTAAAAACTACATCAAACGAGTTCTGCAGTTGTCGGGTGATTGAATAAGAATTATTAGAACTTTCTCATATACAATACGAGTTCACAAGCTACACATACTATATATGGCCTTGTTAAATATTTATGATGCAACCTCACTTTACGTAGCTTCAATGTAATGAAGCCTTTGTTACTGGGGCAATTAATTTAGTAGAGGCCATTCAGACCACAACCAGACGCTCCATAAAGCATCGTCACCTAATAAAAATTGGTTTCCGCCCTTTGCAATGTTTATCAGGATCGATACCATCCCAACGCAAACACCAGAGTACACATACATTAAAAAACTTATTAAAAGCCTTAAAAACATAACGCCTAAATATTATACACAAATAATATTTAATTCTCTTCCCCAGGAAATCTAACCATAGCCAATGCATTTGGTTGGTGCAATATTTTTTATAACAATTTACAGTACAATCTCATAATGAAATATAAATATTGGAACCATTACTAATCGTCACGAAACTCAAGTGACATTTTAAACATTACTAAGGGCATAAATATAAATCGTTGAATGCATTCATCTAAATTTGATAGTACTTTGTTTTGAACACAGCTTAATGTATATAAAAAAAAATAACTAAATATATAACATAATTTAACGATAAAAATTAAAGAAAAATCCATTATAAAGTATTACTTTTAAAATTAAATTAAATTTAAGTGTAACATTTTTTTAACAAGTGTTATAAGCTTTTAAAATAACATAAATTCAACATTTTATATTTTAAATTAAATTAATGAATGCCGCTCTTAGTATATTTAGCAGTAACAAGTAAGGAATAACAAACAAGTACGAGCAACATATCGCTACTTTTATAAACCTGTAACTGATATTAAGCACGGATTCTGGTAGAACAAATAAATCATAGCCAAGAACGATTGTTGCGTGATATGGAGCAATTGCGATGTGGTAGTTACTACACGTACATGTTACTAGGTTTAGTATTCAAGAAAGCAAATGTACATTTATTGGAAGCATGCATTGGAGCAATTACTGTATCCTTATTATTTGTTAATTAAACTTGACCTTTTTTCCGACAAAATTTTCCCCTTCACTAACAGAAAAATATACAAAATCCGCTCAGAATGGATTTTTTTTATGCCTAATTACAATTTTTTTCCAATATTTTTTATTTTTTTCCAATCTGAACCTGAATCCATATGAATGAGGAGACAATAAATTCTTAGAATGATATAATTGATTTAAGGAAAGTTGTTTTAATGATGTAAAAATTGAACAATAATTTTAAAATAGAAAACTTCGTAGTATTTTTCGAATTATCTTAACTCAGTATCTAAACCAATTAACAAAGACAGGCCCGTGTAAGATTATATTAATAATGGAAAAATTTATTTAAGTCAACTGTGGTTTTTTTAAGTCACCAAAATCTATACCGCCAATTTCGTCAAGATCTCCATTTCATTTGCATATTTTGACCTCTGTAAGTGAATTAAAGCTCAAAGGGAGTTCACGTTACTCAAAGCTTATAATATTTGATTAGATGAATGCAATACTATGTGATAAGTAAAATACAATTTTGTACATTTGCAGCTAGTAAACCCATATCGATAAACATTTAAAACTATACGCTTCCGTTTTATTTAATATAATTTTAATTATTCTTTATTTTACCCGGCGTTAAAATTACTTCGCAGTAACTGTGAATACAGGAAGGCGGAGTAAATCTGTCAGTCAATTAGAGTTATTTTTAATCATGTACAGCCAAAGACTTCAGTTTCTCACGTGGTATTGTACTTGAAGTACTACAATACTGTACTGAATGCACTTATAACACACTAACTGCGTCTTGAGGAGTAGCAGAATGATCAAGAACATTGGATTTTATATTTTGTACTTTTGAATCCAGATGTGAGATAGTGAACGCGATATAAAAAAAAGACTAATGGAAAATACTTTCAGCCCGTGTGTTTGTGATAACGCGTACTTAAAAAAACGCAAGGAACAGATAATTCTTAAAGTAAATCCGAAAAACATTATTTAAAATAAGACCACTTTGTTTTTATAAAGTTATTTGCATCTCTAAGACTAATGATGACATACATCAATGTATGGAAGCAAGGGTAGCAAGGGAACGACAAACTTTAGTTTGTTCATGGGGAAAATACACCTTACCTTCTTTGTAGAACAATTTTGATACTTTCCTTTGACAAGTTTTAATTTATTAAAAGAATTACTACAAGCCAATGTGAACATCTTATGTTTTTCTTTCTGTTAGTAACGATAGAGTTAAAAGTCAGGATTAGACATGGTTTTATAAACCCATTTTATATTTATAAAATGAAGGCAAACAACGACGTGATCTGTCCAAATAAAGTATAAAATATACAGAATATACATATTCGATTCTCTCATTCGTAAGGCTTGTTATATGATCAATAAATGTATAAAGACAGTCGTCTGGGAAAGAGAATATTTGTGTTAATTTTGTTGAGAAATTTATAATTGTCTCAGTATATCAAAACATATTAAGGAACTCCGTCCCAGACAGTACAGACTCAGGATCCAGACTCAGAATCCAGGACAATAATATATTGAGTTATTTAGACGCTGCCCTAATTCCAGGCAGCATAGTTATCATAATATTACAGCATAGTTATCGGTTTAGTATGACAGTGCATTATAATACAAAATTACTTGATCTATCGCATTAACAAATAATTAGTAAATAATATTTTAATTTGTACTTCAAATTATCAATTTCAAAATTTAAATATCAATAACTTGTATGAACTTATCCTTAATACATAACTCGTTATGACTAATCATACAACTAATCGTGCATGCAAGTTGTATAAGTATGTTAGAAGAACATGGAAACGTAAACCGTCCTAATTAAATTATGCTAGTAGAGAGACGCAAATTAATACAATTTGAACAAATTCCAGTCCCTTAGAATTTGAAATTATATAATGAATAATACATATTCGACATTTTAGATATTTCCATTTTATTCTCCAAATAAATACTAACAAAACGTTTAATAGAAAACAATTCCATATATATAGCGTAAAAATTGTCAGTCAACAATACCATAACAGTGAATAACTTAATAGCTAAACATTTAGTTGAATAAACTATTTTTTATTATTATTTTAAGCTTACTTAAAATACTCTAGGTGTTTTATTTCGCGAATTTTCATAGATAGTAATATTGTAAGACAAAGAACAATATAACTTCTAAAACAAGTACCAACTCAGTTTGAAGAAGTTTATTTCAAAGGAATATGAAGTGACTTCGTTCTATAAATCCACATACTTCAACTAAGTTGAGGCTATATTCGATGTTTGTTACTCGATAAATTTCCTAATATTAAAGAAAAGAATTAGATCACATCATATCGCCAAATATAAAATAAATAAAGAATGTCTACATCACAGTAAATAAAATCAAAATTTGAATTATCTTATAAAGCTTTTTTCATCGAAATATTTGACGAACTAATCCCCGTAACCAATACATTGTTACTACAGCGTTGCGATTTATGATATCAGGTAATATTAAATTTCATTCCAAAACCAGTAAAATCCGAATTTGAATCACCAAGGATTAAAAGTATTTAACACTTACAGTACCTACGATATCTTATATATTTTAACACTTCATATATTACGATATTTTAATACTTTATATATTTGAACCTACCTTCTTTTTAATTGACTTCAAAAAAGGAAGTATTTGTAAATTCGAGCGCATTTGTATTTTTACGTGGATAGCTTCGGTCTTGATGAATAGATCTGAATTTTCTATTGAAAGACATCCCATAGGTTCCGTAATCAGGTCAAGATGTTAGGATAGTGAAAATTTTAAACTATTGAAAATCGTATCGAATTCTTAACAATTACTCACCGCATTTTTACAGGCATAGTTCCTTTTCCTCTAGAACGGAAAGTAGTTATGTAGAAAATATTTAGAAAACATAAGAATAACTATTTATTCAAGTTACTCTCAAAGTTGAAACTATTTCACCGTTTAGGTTCGTCGTTGGAGAAGTACGCAGGAAAAGTGGGAGTGAGAGGTATAACGGCTAAATCTGTCTACAACCTACTAAAAGACTTGGGCCTGTTGAGAATTTACATTAGTTCATTCTTGGAACGTATTCCGAAGGCAGCCCTAGTAGGTTCTTTTCGAATTTGGCTAGGTAGAGAGAGGAGCTTGGACAGTGGAGGTGAGCGTTTAACGCGCGTTAGATAGGGGCCTCTTAAACCTACACCTGGGTCACGAGTCCCAGGCACTGTTGAAGCTCCTCTCCCTGCAACTTGATGGACCCGGTACCCGCACGGTGAATCCATTGAATGCTAAGAGGTTTTGTCTTTCATTGTCTGTAGACAAAGTACTGCTATAAAAATGTATGTCACAGAGTTGTACATATACTTTTGACTTCGAGTAGTCATGACTACTGAAAAGTAATGAAAATGCCGGGTTAAAAAAAAAAATAATAAAAGAATCAAATCCGAAAAACATAGTTTTATTAAAAAATTAGATATCATTAATGAATAATTCAAATATAAACACGTCAACAAGACTATATATGTCAGAATGATTGACGATGCTCCTACCTTTGTTATTGTTTTACTTAGCACCGACTGCGAAATTATAAAAAAAATATTATATTTTTCCTAATCAATATACGTATTATTTTGTAATAAGTATTTTTCCCGTTCATTTTATTTTATAAGGCATACAAGAGTGTAAAATAATGATGATTTGTATCTATAATAATCTATACTGGTATATAATTTAACCCTAGGATTAAATAGAATTATTTTTGTATAATCTGGTGCCTTTCCTCTTTCTTTTAGGAGTCACAAAATCAACAATATACCCTCAGGGCTACAAAGTTAGTAAGCTGTTACTACAGTTATAACACACTTGGTGCTTCGAAGAAATCGTGTTACATTGAAGTTAGAGCTCAAAATACCCAACCCAATAATAAAACTATTGTTACTTTGAAGTCCACAGAAATCGTCAAAATTATTTTTTTAAAGAAAATAAAAAGAAGAAATATATTTAATTTAAATATAAAAAAGTTAAAATTTGCTTTGATTACAATTTGATGATAATAAAGTACAATATGTCTATTAGGGTTTCTAGAAGAAGCATTGATATAATGCTCAGAATTTGACTTTATCTTCTATAGATATCTTATTAACCTCCCTGTTGAATTAACCTCGATGATCAATAATAATAAGAAAAGTTATGAGGTTGATGAATCTCTTAAAGCCAAAATTAAAATTATACATTTAAAATCTTTCAATCTTAGTAAAACAAACCGAATAATACTTTCATCCTCTCTCTCTCTCTCTCTCTGTATAACGTTATTATAAAAAAGAGATAAATCAATTTCCCTTTTAGAAGTTAAACACATTCGATAAAGTATATTTATCAAGTTTTAAATTGAGTTAGTAAAAAAGAAATTCTTTGATGCTTAACTGTATTTGACAAACAATGAAAACGATCGATCACCCGAAACGAGCGAACGAATTATAATGAGCGATTGAATGAATGATTTATTCTTACCTGTTTCCACTCCACTTTATCAATTCCTTCAGCGCCCGGGGCAGCTCCTTCGTTTAACGGCGGTCGTAATAAAGATGCGTACTAAAAAAAACATTATAAAATGTTTCATACCATTCACTCATTCAGTCCCTTGAGATACAAATAGGCTGAATAACCCACATTTTGATGTCTTAATGAATATTTTTTGCCATATAAAAAGTACTTACACGCACATTTCATATATGAGCTGAATCTTAAATTCTATAAAGGTATTCTTTATTCAAGCATTTCTAAGGATTGAATACTAATCCATATCAAATCCTCTTTTTATGTTGAGAAATACAAATGCATATAAAAATTACGTAATTATGTATACCACTTTAATTGTACAGTTCCAAAAAGCCATAACTTTCGATATCCATTTTAGGCAGTATTTTTTAACCATATCGTTCTCAAACTATCAGATAATTGTGAATCAAAGTGTCATTAAGATCAAATCAAACCACTATTATACCTAAATAATAGTTTGTTACAACAAAAGATAAACAAATAAAGATTATAGGGTAGCTTTTTATTATTGAAGGCATGGTATACTGAATAAAGGCTTTCCATGTAGATACTTTAAATGTTTTTAACGTTTAAGATTCAAACTTTTTTTTTATCTTATATAACCTAAAATTATTAATAGCAAAATGAAAAAAAATATTAAAAATTCAGGTAAATATTAAATATTCAGCTATCAAGCCTTTTAATGAATAAATCAGACTTAATCGAATAAAATCTTTACATTAATTAAAATTGATTAAACACAACTAACCACAAAAGTTTTCAAAACTTAAAATAACTAAAATATCGTATATATAAATAAATATCTATAATTGTTTGAGTTATGTAATATTTGCTAATATTTTATATTAATATTACCTTATCTCTCTCCATACTTCTCAACATATCAAGGTCGGTAGAGTCTGAAATGCCTCCATGAACTACAAACACGCGATTGTTGATAATTGTACCCAACGGTAGCCAGCGATATACATTCTCTATCAGCTTTAGTAGTCGTTCTGCGTTATGCTGGGTATAAAAATACGTTAGCTTATAATTATAATACTGAACTATACCACAATTTACGTCGGCGTTGATGTACAGTTTATCATTAATATCAATTCTATTTGAACATATCTTAGTTATATAATACGCCTACATATTAAACTTCTTATGCCCGAGTAGAGAATTATTGGTCCTCTAAAATGTGGCTTTCAAAATTCTAATGGGACACGATGCTGTAATAAGCTCTATTAAATTCAAGGGATCAAAATTCGTTTTGATGTAAGGCCCTTATACAATTACACATCTATGTAAATGAAGGAAAGTATAATTAAAATTTGGTACCTCTCAAATTTATGTCTCCGAAGGAAATGTTTCATATTATTTTTTTATAAGTCCTTTGTTTTCGAACTCATGGAGAAAATATATTATTTTTTATTTAATTTAAGTTAAAGTGTCCAATAATTTAGCTTATATAAAATAATAACCTATAAGTTATTCTCTGACCCGGTATTCTGTGTAGTTCTTACAGTTCAACATTTCTAATTAGGTTATGCAGAATGGTCATGGCAAGTATATAAAAAACTTCATTTAGCAACCTCTTAAATAAATCATTTCTTCGTAAAAGATAATGTCGATACCTTTCAATTCATTCAAAATTATACCATCTTTAAGGATTTATACTGGAAATCATTATCGATGTATTATATACGTAAGTATTAATAAATACAAGTACCTACAACGATTTATAATTCTTAGCTAGAAAGTGTTTTCCAAGCCAAATTACTTATTCTTTTCATAGAGTAATGTTACCATAAAATATGAAAACACTCCTAAAATAGAATCACAAATCTAAATTGAAGTGAGATTTTGTACAATTCTTTGTATTTATTTGTAATATAACGCCTCCGCAGTTGTATGGGAACGTTTGAGGTTTATGTGAATTAACCTTCGAGTGCCACAATATTCCGAGGTTTGAGAAATTTAAATTGAACGATGTCAATGATTTAATATTTTCAATAATATAGTAAATAATGTCAAAGTGGTTTATACATACTTACCCGATACTTTTGGTGAACTTCCCTTATGAAGCCGTACCTGTAGATTGAAGTTAAACGAAATATATCAGGAACAAAACTTATTTATATAAAGGGATATATTTGATAATACATCTTTTGTTTCGTGAATCTATTTCCATATTCTTATAGTTCAATGATAAACTCTAAGTTCACGTCTGTTATAAGTCGAAAACATGTGTCACAGAGTTCTACTTTCGATATTTGAGAAATAAATACAACCCGCACAATTAGTAAATTTTCATACGTAAAAGAAGCTTTCTTCCTTTTTCTTTAAACAGCTCTAGTGATGCTTTGCAAAAAGAAGAAGAGTATTTTTATTCCTATTTACCAATTATTAAATTTCACAAAGTATTTGCGGTGTGTTTGTGTACTAAATATCATCATCGGAACAGACATCCACCAATCAATCAATCGGATCCTCAATCAAATATAAATCACTTCGTTCAACTATCGCGATCAAATCCAGTTAGTTTTGATATTGATAGTAAAATATTATTAAACATTTTTTTTAAACATGTATGATCATGATAAACTAATTCGAATTGCAAGGTGAAAATAATTATAATGTAAAGTAATAGTTTTGTGAATTTATTAACAGAGATAAATGTTAAGAAACATTAATAAAAACAGTACAATACAAGAAAATATTCATATTAAAATATTTTTATTCATACATTAATGAAACGAATTTATAATATCGTTTTGTATAAATACACTTATGCACTAACTTCATATTAACCTACAGCGGATAAAAAATAAGCATATTTGGAAATACTTAATTCACTTAAAATTTACCCTACTCCACCGAAACAGTAATTATAAAGCAAGAAGACTTTTGTTTGTTATAAAATACATAAGTTGTTCAAGTTTAATTTTATATACAAAAACCATAATATAATTAAGAGTTTTTAGATTTTTCCTTTAGATTATGTGTTAAGCATAAACTGCTTTAACAATTTATTATTTGAAATATAACATAATGTAGCATTTTTGTATAGGAATCATGAAATATAAAAAAATATGTATATTTTATTTATTATGGTAACAAAACAATGTGTTAAATAAGAAAAATAATGAACGAATTCATTGTAAAGAATAATTAAATAATAGTAACAGAAAGTGGTTATTTATAATTAGGTGAACCGTTTTTTGCACGAGTATACAACATTTATTTTCCGTCTAAAGCCTGTCGTGTATTTAAAACGTTGTAAGCTGGTCCTTTTTAAATAAAACAAAAACAACATGTTAATTATAAATGAGTTAATATCATTACTTTACCTGGTATTCATGATAAGATCTTCGTGATTGCCTCGGTTCAAATAAACCCCTCCGGGGAAAGTTAGCATGCATGCCAATAGCAGTAGGAGAACTTCCAATCCCTTCTTGCCTCGGTCTACAAAATCTCCATTGAATATGTAAGGGTTCTCCGGCGACGGCAAACCATTCTATAAACAAAATATTTAATGCTTAATTCCACAATGTGGTTATGCTAATGTAAAAGAAACACAAAGGATGCGACCCAAATTTTATATGAAATTATAACAATGTCGACACTGGATTATAATTAATCTTTATAAAATTGTACCCTTTATCATTATTTGAGCTCGCTTCGGATCGCTGGATGAAATATGGCGGTCTTGAACTCCAATAATGTTTATTTATGTCGTACATGTTCTTCATCACAGAAAATTTGTAATAAATCTAGTTATAAGATGTTGTAGACAGAAAAGTGTATGAATATTTTAAAATATATATTAGATATGAGATTATGGAGGGGATATTTAAAACTATGCATTAAATTTTAATCCGCGAATCCTTAGACGTGCAACGATGACCGTGAAAAACTGACGCACTGCGTGTTCCAATCGATACTGAGTTACGCAATCATTATCCCTGTCTGAGTCGTTATCCGAGCTGAATCCGGGACAAATGGCTCTCCCGATGGCCGATATCTATCCCTTTTGGAAATGTGTAGCCATGAGTATAGACTATACATTTCCAAAATATATAAGCACTGATAAAAGCAATACTTTTTCTATTCTCATAAAGCTGCCTTGAATGTGAAAAAAAGTCCATTAATTTTTTCTGTATTTTATAAACATCATAAAAAATATCGTGAAAACCTTGACACATTCAAAATATTTTAATTAAAGAAAATACATTAATATTACTTTTTAATTCTTAAAAACTAATTCCCTTCTTTCTTTCTAAACGAGAAAGAGCACAATGTTTCGACTTTTTATCAAGAGCACAATTTTTTACTTTTAACTGGGCAAATAGAAATGGGCAAAAGTTTATTTTTGTTAACATTTTTAACGAAATATAAACGAAAAAGCCTCTTATTAAATATTATTTATAATGTTACCTAAAAAATAGAATCTTGACGTTTAAACCACAAATTCTTCTTTCATCAATGACCATGTTTGCAACATCACATTTTCATTACGATATATGGATATATGTTAAAACATTAATTAAAACTGCATTAACCGATCGTGGTTGTTTTTGAGAACTAAACTTGTTTTCAAAGCGTTCATGACAAAATAGACACTAAAGAGAACAAACGATTATAAATGAGTCATACAAAGCAGTAAAACCAATCTATAACATATAAAACAACATTACAAAGCTAACAATGTGACGGATGAGGTAATAGAAAAACAATATCAAGTTAAACGAGGTCGTTCGGTGTAAAAGATGACCTACCAATCATACTGTGGCAGTTGCTACAAATTGAATGACGCGTACGCCGCTCCTTAATTGTTACGAGACCCTTTCTTATCGCCGTTGTGACGTCAGGCTGCCCTAGATGCTATGCGAAAATAGGTTTGAATGTTTTGTTATGAATTATGCTCAAACTTTCATTGCTACTTCTTAGCTGCATTCAAATTATTCGGTTTTGAAAGTAGATTTATTTCGTACAGGCTTTGTAATATCTTCATTACTATGAATCTGAATATAAATATTTATATACCGAAAATTCTAACAAAAATTCATATTAATTGAAAAATAGCGTTTCACTTTACCAGAAGTCGCAAACTGGAATGTCAAAATAAACGATAGCTTGTTGATGAATTTTTCAATCTATATTAACTACATACTTGAATTTAAAATCAAATATTTGACGTTTTTGTATGTGTTAATAATAACTTACTTATACGTAGCTTTTTTTTAATTATTATTTTAACACTAAAGCAATATTGAGCTTATATTTTATATTAAATTTAAATAGAAAATGTACAATGTAATTTCATGAAAATTTCATATGAATTTTCATTAACCTAAGCAGGATTAGATCTTCAACCTCCTGATATATCACGTTCTAGTTAGTTTACCAACTAACTTATTGCGCCCTGGTTTCAGACAGCAAATTAAACAAAACAATCGGTTACATATATGTAACCGATACACTGAATTGATGGACAGATTATATAATTTAACAGTTATTATTTCACAACTAGCTGACCCGGCAGACTTCGTACTGCATCAATCAAGAAATAAATTATGTCTTATTAGCTTTTTTGGTGTTTATCTTTAAGCCATAAATCTCAATGTTCTCAAGTGCGACAAAATGATTGACATATTAGTTAGTTGTCAAATCTAATGTCAAAAAACCGTTTGTATGGGAAATAAAAAAGCGCTGTTTTTAGGGTTTTCCCGGAAATTAATAAAAAAAAATCAGCTTTTAAACCTCCATGAACATTTCAAGACTATGATAATGATAAGATAAATCCGTTCAGTCTTTCTCGAGTTTTAGTGAGACCAAAGAACAGCAATTCATTTTTATATATATATATAGATAAATAAATGTTACCAACATATCACATAATAGTTATAGTGTGGAAATTGTTCAATGACGAGATGTAGCTATTAAGAGATAAAGAAACTTAACTGCCCCTATAATCAGATAGCGTCAACTTCGTAACTTTTAATCACAAAAATTTCATTAAGCTATTAGGTCAATAGGTTAAAGACTTCGTTCTAATTTTTAGGTCAGTTCTTAAGTGTGGTAACAGGGGCTCGACATGTTCTATAAAGTTTTTCATTGTTGTTTCTCGGCTTCTCTGGACGTCTGCCAGACGTGAACCATACATCAAATTCAAGGTCCCACTAATAGCTCGTAATATTATCATATATTATGATTGTAGCGTTACGGAATCATTGTAATGATTTGATCACGCCTTAAGTATGTAATATAAATGTATTCAAAAATTTTATTTAATACAACAATTGCCTTACCAACACACTATATTCACGACAATCTTATTAATGAGTATAAGATTTAAGCCTTAGTGCTCCAAAACTAAATACGTTAAGTGACAGTTCAACCGTTTTTTCATATAACAAAAAAAAAGTTTGTCAATGAAGGAATGAAGATTTTTTTCTTGTAGAAACCTAATAGATGTACAATAGCAATATATGACATGTAGCATACGAGTACATATTATGAATGAATTTTTTTTTTTTGAATATACTAGATGATTTATAATTTTATTTAACATTTTATGAGACGTTTTGGTTATTTTATATCAAGTATAATGGCAAGCAGACGAAATCTAAGTGTCTTGGATATCATTATACAGAATTTATACAATTGTACATCACACTTAATGAGTAACTCAGTATGAAATTAGTTTAATTATACACGCAGCTAAATTATACCTGCTAAACATAACAAGATAATCGTTATATTTACTTGGGAGAAATGTAAACCTAAAATGTGTAGACAAAAATAACACATAATTAACAAAATGTACCTAACGAACTAATAGTAATACTTTTATAATTCATTAACATATTGTTATATTTTTATGAGCACTTTACCAATTTTTTTTTAAGCTAAAGGGGGCAACGGAGCAGACAGCCTACTTGATTGTGGTAGTACCCCCGTCCATAGACATCAGCAACATAGATTTGCGAATGTGTTGCCACCCTTGATTGGGGAATATCTGGAAAAGTTGGGAAAGGGAGGGAAAAGGGAAAGTTCAGGAAAGGGTGGAAAAAGGGAAACGGCAATCGACTCTTTCACTCATTGGACAAAACGCAGCCATTAAAGGCTACTTTACGCCGATCGTGAGAGGTTGGTATTTCCCCTGTTCGAGCCAGCCCATATTTGAGCTGTAGTAACTTGACCACAACTAAGCGCTACTACCTCAAAAACCTTATCTATAGATCGAATCGATAAAAATAAACTCGTTTCGCAACATTTATCAACTCATTTTATATTTAAAAATAAACCTAAAATATACATTAAAGAATTTTATTGTCCTACTATCCTAGATACTCGAATAATGTAATTTACTAAAGTACCAGAACTTTTCTATAAATTTCTTTCAATAAAACATGGGTTTGCTTTAAAAGATAAATGTTAATGCATGTAATAAAACAAGAAAAGTAAAAGTAAGGTAAGATGTATCGTATAGCAGACATTTTTATGTAAGTACTACAAATTATTTATATGTAGATTCACTTGGGATAATTATAAACTGTAATATTGTGTGAAATGTTTCTTTATATTTAATGCCGTGGAACATAACATTTTTCATTCTAACTAAATAATATCTTTACGAAATTCTGCTTTTGTAGAGTTAAGGAATGGCTTTTGTGATTGCAACATTTTTGGTTCCCTTAAAAGAAATCAGCATAATTATAGGTAATATAAAATTCCAGCTATTATTTGTCGCTTATTCAGCAAAACTTTCATATTGTTTGGACTTCTTTGTCTTTCAAGACAAGTCTTCAAGACTTCAAGAAGTGCCATTACGAAAATTATTTCTTTGAATAAGATACTCCTGAAAGTCCATTAATCTAATTGTATTGACTGCCAGACAAGCCACTTAAAAAATAGATAACTAAACATATTGTATCTACAACATAACAAACGTTACGACCAATCTCTACTGGTAATAAAATCGTACAGTTATCTGTATGTGAAACGAATTTTTGAAATAAACCGGGCCAATGAAAATGGGACAAAGCTGCCGTATTAATTCCTGTGTCCGTCTTTGTGTCCTTTGTTTGTAAACCTACGAAACTGTTGAACTGATGTTTGGCCGATTTTGTGACAGATTTCTTGACCAACATTACCTTTGTCGTTTGCTATTACTTTCCTCTAAATCAAAAAGTAATTATTATACACTTATAACAATATTTAATAACATTTTTTTGCTTATTGGAAAATACCTCACACATTTAATGAAAATATAAAATCTCTTCTCGAGAATAAACAACTACCTAATCAGTTCCGTATACAGAACTTGTCGCTAATACAGTTTTTCGAATCAAAGCTGTAAGTTTATCCATCCAATCATTCCTTCCTTCTAGTTGTATTTGATTAAATGTATGCAAGCGCGGTTGTAACCACAGACCATAATAGATTTAAACCAAATATATTTACATCGATACATCGCTACATCGTATATTTCTTTATACAATAAAACGTGAAACGATTGATGAAAAATCAATGAAATAGGCATAAAATTGGATTGACTGATAATAATATCATACGAAGATTTATTTTGATAAATAAAACCACTCTGTTGTTTTGTTGTCACTTACAGTAAATTTATAACGAATTTTCAAAGAAATTGTCATTTATGAAAATGAACACTAAAATATTGCAATCCTTATCTCAAATAAAAACTGTCAACTCTTTACTACTTCTTAAGATAGAAATGAAAGAATTCATTCTAACCTTAACATTTAGTGTAGATGCGGATATCTCTTATTGGACTTTCACAAATGGTGAATTGAGATTATCCGTTTATCCAATACATAATAGTATTTTCCGCTACAGAGACTTACTTACAGGGTAAGTCTCTAGTCTCTAGAACGAGAGCTACTAATAAACGCCATATGCGGTATCGGACATAGTAACATCCAGCAAATGTATGAAATACTTCATTGTGTCTACTTCAGTGTCTTCGAAATTAAGAAACTGATTATAATCAATCACGAAATTATATTGATAAGTATTAAACTTAATTTCATGATAATTTTAAAGATTAGGCTCCTATTCTCATTACTTTATAGTAATAATCTTTATGATACGCAGACAAAGTAGCGTACAACAGCTATTTATAAATTATTTCTCTAACTAATTCCTGTCATAGGTACTCAACTCTATGTATTAAAGGTCAAAATAATTAAACCAATTAATTAATCCCATTAGCTTGATTAACTGTCCATTAGGATGTATACTTCGATACATTTTCAATAAAGTGTTTTTGTAATAATTGTACGAACAAAATGTATATAAAATTATATTACTCGTTTTTTGTTTGTACCACAAAAAAAGGACATATAGTAAACGTGTTACATAATCTTTTATATTAGGACTTAACCTTAGAAAACTATTCTACGGATCGATTAGAAATGACCTTACCTTTTTGAATCATTCATCAAACTCAATAGTACGAGTAAATGAACCCAGACGCATTAATAACGTTTGAACCTATAACTGATTGAAGAATTAGAGTAATTAATTTTTATTGCTTCTTTGGCGCAATTACCAAATATTTGCTTTTATTTTACATGTACATATTAATTTGAATAAAGAGAAATTAAAATATCCCCCAAGAAAATTGCTGACTACAGATAGTGCAACATAAGTGAAATAAAACATTAAAATTACCTTATTTATACTATAAATAAAAAGTTTTACCTTATGGAATATAACAAGCAAATCGTCGAGTTTGCCATGAAGATCTCCGCATATGGTTATCTGACTCGATATAGATGTAGTAGCCACATTGATATTCGGCAATCTTTTTAACATCTGCGAAGCCTCCTTCAGTATCTGTGCTACTAGCTTTGGATGTAGACGATGCTGGAAAAAATTCAAAGTAAATATACTGAGAAATTTTACGCTTGTGTACCTTTTTTAAATATTTTACGCTTTACGCTTTTAGGGTGCTTGATTAGAGAGAAGTTGCTTCTTGGTAAATATCGATATGAATCTTTTTAAACTGAACAAAGAAAAATACGACATACATGTTGGATAACTCAAATAATTTTTCACATGCAAGTGACTCCGTTAAAAACACCGTAAGTCATAACAAAAGACGTACGAGCGTTCCGTTAATCGGATTACAGACACGATGGCATGTTTAGTCTACCGCTTCGGATTAAATGCACCACTTCACATTCTATATCGCATTACTGATATAAATTTATTATTTTTATTTTTGTATGAACATAATTTAATAGTCATTCAAATTCAGCTTTTAACTAGTATAGCCAGTAAGTGGTATCTCATGTTAAAGCGGTCCAATTTCGATAATTTTAATAAACCTTAAACAACATCCTTAAATTCCATGAAGCGAGTTTAATTTGATAGATAGTCATAATGATGCGAATAAATAATCAATATAAAATGTCGCATTCAATTTTGACATACCTTTTTTTTCCTAAAGGCCTCAATAAGCAGGTCTATATCTTTTCTTTGAAGGGGAAATTCAATATCAGGCTCTCGACAGTTTTTCGGTGGAGCTGTCTCATCCACGCCTCCGCCTTCATCCGACTCTTCAGAAAATATTTGTTCCACTACAAATAACAAAGCTCTTCTAAAATTTGTCAGCATACAAGTATACACAGCAGCTTTACGTTCCTTGAAATCTCGGGGGTAATTTCATATTCAAAACTTCGTGGAACTAGATGTGAATTTTGGGTTATTCGAAATTATTTTTTTCATGACACAACTATGTATAACAATATACAAATATATGCCGGACCTTTTGCTCTCTGGAAATATATTTATAATTATCGGTTGTAAATAATACATAATCTTAAGATGATGCAGTTTTTAATTTATAAGGCGATTTATTTTTAAATAAATTTTTACTATTTATTTAATTTGTTACAACAAATAAATCAGAATTTTCGTTAACTTTAATATGACATATATTAATAGCGTCATAAGACCGCATTAATTTATGTAAATGTCAGTAATTTCAAAATTTTAAGGAGAATACCTGACATTTGCTGAAATATAACGAAGGCTTAATGACCACTCCAAATCCCGGTGATGCTTCCCCGCAGACACAGACAAAAATGTTGAGGAACGTGTCTTTTAATTAATTTATGGCTTACGACAACACAAAACCGTCACATTATACAAAAAATGGATTGTATTTAATAATTATTTGAATTTTTAACTGTTTATAAAATAAAATAAAAATCATATTGTCGTAAGAAGTAACTGAAATTTCATAGAGCAGCCGAAAACAATAGATGGCACAACAAATGTATACTATTTGCAAATATAAATACATTGCTAAATACAGATATTATCCTACATTTTATCCGAGAACTCTTGAAACCAATATAAGATGAGAGACATTGAAATGGAGGGTTACCGTAATTCTATGTGGTAATATTTAAATAACATGTTTCATGTTTATTTTGCTTTAGGATAAAGAATCTGAAGTGAGCAAACTGTTTAAAATGTAATGAACCTACACACAAACATAAGTGTACAAACACTTTGATACATTCGCATATATAGATGTATATATTTTCAGAACGAAATTGTTCATCACATATTTAGACAATGGAAGCTAAGGCCAATATTGTAGTGAAATTATTTGTTGAAATACAATACGTTCGAATTCTAGGTTGCGATTAGCTTTTTGCTTTATATAGAAAATATATTTTTTTCTTTTCATAGATAGAATGATGTTGTTAATAAAATGGAGTAACCTTTTTATAATAGTGATACTTGTAAAACTTACTGACAGAAGCCGTTCTTGATGTTCTTTCGGATGACGGTCTTCCGCTAGTCTCCCGCATATGACTCAGGAGGGCATTAAAAAAGTTGTAAAGCTGAAACAAATAAAATATAAAAATAGCAGCTATAAATACATCTGGAAGTATAGATTCTTAGAAAAAATGTTATTATATTATTATTGTTGTTAAAAAATATTCTAAAATAAATTTATATCATCATAAGAAGGTTTTATAAATTCCATATTAAGAATTAAAAATCCTTAGAGACTATTTATTTATAATCATATTTAGTATAATCAAACTTTAGGAAAATAATGAATACATTAATTTCTTATAACATAATGTAATGTCAAATTCGTTAGCCATTCATATAATTACTTTATACATATATGTAGAATGCCACGACACATTTAGTTACAGACGATTATTATTATACCATGTCGGTTTTATGTCGTGCATTTCAACAATTATACGGTCTTTTGAAAAGTGGTATTTTTTTTAAATAATAACCGTTGCAATGAAAATTTTTATATGCAACAGTTATAAATTTTAAAAATATTAGACAACATAATTGCAAATCTTCCTAAGACGCACTTAAAATTATTTCTTCAAGTAATACATTTTAAAATTATTATTTCGAATGTTAACTAATTCATGGCCCACCCTGTACTATAGTTGAAAGACCATTTACTGGTCTGCTTTACTTAAAAGAACTAATTATAATTTAAAGTAGACAACAAGGTTATGAATATAATCATAAGTAAATATTGAATGCACAATAATAATGAATCAGTGATTTTCTTCGTCACGTGTATAGCACAATTTAATGTATCATTACTAAAGATGTAACGATCTGATAAGGAAAACGTATATTTTCCCTACAGCAATAGCAATTTTCCATGTAGTTAGCTATCATTCTAGTAATTATTCCCTGCAGAGGTGACCTACTTTAAAAGCTATAGTGCTCATATTTCAATTTAAAAATATGTATAATATTTATATGCTATGTACTTTAAAAGTTACTATTTAAATTTTTTATATAAAAATCCGTTAAAAATAATGGAACAGGTAAACAATATTGTATAGGAAATCATTAAAATATCCCAATTCGATTGTAATGATTAATAAATTACTGTTACGAAACCTCTTAATATGAAAACCGATAAATATCGATATTGTGAACTATGCCATTCTTATGTCTATTATATTTATAGCAACACTGAATTTCAATGTTCAATATTGACTTCAGTAACGGTTATGTTAGTTAGTCTCGTTACTGAAACGAAGATTGTTAGTAGGTAATCATTCAAAGGAATCTGAGGTTTTAGTTATTGTGGAAATGAGAATATTTAAATAGCAACATTAATTTTAACAAGCCACTAGATGCAACTGTCTTTGAGCTATATGAATGTATATAATATCATAAGTATATTTTCATGTATGTATTTTAAAAGTTGTTAATTTTGTCCTTTGTTCTGTTCCCAAGAATACCAATTTTTTCTTTTATTCTCTGTGCCATTATTGCCCGTAAATAGGCAAACGAATTTAGGCCAGAGATTGACAAATTATGCAAATATTCGTTCACTTTTGAAACTAATTGATAGTCCTCTATAATTTAGCGACTGAGAGTAACTCATTTGGATATGAGTAATTTTTATAATCATTTTTATAGCCGCTTTTATTCTGCTTATTATGTTAATGTAGATTTAAAATTTAAAGGTATTTTAACTAGATTTAGTTTGACGTTTCTTGTCTTTTGCTTTATATTAAAAGTATTCTTAATAATTATGTACCATGCCTTATATATATTATTATGAAATATAATTTCATTTACGTAAACTATAAAAGTCTTAAATCGCAATTAACTCTTATGAATTATAATCATTAAAGTTTAAATTCGGTGTAATTTATTTTTTCATTATTTTCTTTTGAAAATAAATATAATGTAATTTAATTAAATTTTAATATGAAATCTTTTATACTTTGTGAATTCAAATTAATTAATGAGAATTAATTTTCATAATTAACAATTTTATTCAAAAGTATATGATATTATAAACAAAAACCTCATATTCTAAAAATTACTTTTTTTTTAAGATATAAATTTTCCTATGTGGTCGGCCTAATTTCATAAGCAATTTAAATTTAAAAATAATATACTTTTATCTAAGCGACGTTTTCCAATCAACATCAAATCATTCTTGACATGTTTAGTTTTAAAAAGCCACAGTCTTAATAATCACATATTTATCCACTTAAATAAATTAAAGTGATTAATTGTGCAAACGGTTCATTGATCAACAATGTGTCAGGTTGCCCAGTCGACTGTTAACTTACTTAATTTACTCGCAGTATTTATAAAGAATGACATTTTTGAGTTTACAACTTAAACTTAGGAATACCATTAAATACCTATTCTATTTATTCTGTTATAAACCAAATCTTACATATTTAGCTTAGCAAAAAGCATTCTACATAAAGTGAAAAATTTAGTATATTTTGTATAAGCTTTTTGCATTTAATAAACAAAAATATAAAAAATTATACTTTTATACAACTTTTTGTTAAAAAACAGCATAATATTTCGACAACAAATTTTGCATTCGTGAAATTAAATATCCTACCTTCACTCAAACCTTTTGTTTATTGAAAATTGCATGGTCGTTAAAATTCTGCACTGAAATTTGAGTCGTTTGCACAAAAAAGTTTTATATTTAAATATCCTGATGAAATGTCATAATTCCTCTTTTTTAAATTGGCTATTTCATTGTTCATCATATTCATGTGTAAATGAGAATCAAGTTTTTATTAAAGACTTCGTATACGTACAATCCTTTTCAATTTCGTATATTTTTCCTAAGCTATTAAATAGAAAAATGTTTTAAATAGTGAAATGGAAGTTTTGTGTCATTTGTTTTTCAAATGAGTTTTCCTGTAAAACTTAAAATAGAAGCATTGTTTCCTTTAAATCGAAATTCTGACACGAAACTTCATTTAGAAAAATCAAATTAAATATTCAATGAACAGGAGCGAGTCACAATGAATCACTTTTCTGTAATAAATAAAAAAAACAGGAAAACCATTTTTGATAGTATATTGTTGAAAATTTAATTTACAAAAAAATATATTTAAAATAACAATAAAGCAGAAAAATTATTTAAAATTATTTTAAAAAATGTGTTCAAATTGATAGAGGTGACAAAACAACTAATAAAATTAAAATTTAAACTAAAGAATATAATATAAAAAAATCATCAACATAAGTAGGATTCTAATCTGCAACCACCTCATAATTTCAATTTCAATTTTACTAAAAACGATTATTAAGGCCCCAATTTCGGGAGAAATGTAATTTGGTTCTAACTGTTGTAAGAAATAATAAAACAAATAAAATATTACATTTAAAAATATTTAATAGAAGTTTATTTCATTTACAAAATATGTTAAAAATTATTAGTAGAACTAATTTTCTGAGGTTCTAACAGATTTCAATTTCCTATATATAAATCTATCTTTACTTTAAGCCATTATTAATTAAATGTACATCGGAGCTTAAACGACGGACTTACAACGGCGTCCTAGTTTCATACCATGAGAATCACGTTGATTAAATTTAACAATGACAAAGTTTAAACTTCACCTGTTTAGTTTAAAGAAGCTTTTTACAGGTCCATGGGAATATTATTTAACATTAACGTGGCCCTTGGGTATTTCATAAAAAGTAAAATCTTAAGACTGTTCAAAAATCTTAGTAAATTTTTATTTATATTTTATATGACTCTTCCACTTCTAAAGTTTAGAAGTTATTAGAATATAAGGAGATAGACAGACTAATCTTTAATATTTAAATATGACTAATATATGTGTATATATACAGGGGACACACTTTTTATTTGAACCGAACCTTTAAATTCCCGAACGCATCCGAAGTGATATTAAAGCTATGACGCTTGTCTTGTTCTCTTTTAACCTGCGAAAGTATGTTGTGGACACGACTTGTATTATTGTTAATAGAATTTAACTAATTTAAGGTGTTTTGGCTTAAGATAATAATTAGTTTGCTCTAGTTAATTTATATTTTTATAAGGATTTTGTTAGAATCCTAAATATATATAAAATCCTAAATCCTAAATATATATATATATATATATATGTGTATAGCCGGTGGCCTAGTGGTTAAAGGCGAAGGTTCGATCCTGGCAAATACCAATGTGATTTTTCCGAGTCATATATACTTTCTAAGAATATTAAGACACCACTGACAGACGGTGAAGGAAAACATCGTGAGGAAACCTGGACTTATAATTTCACAATTATAAGTTTGATGAAATCACCAACCCGTCTTGAGCAAGAGTGGTGATTTAAGCTCAATCCATGTGAGAAAAAAGCCTTTGCCGAGCAGTAGGCTCTGAAAGGCCGATGACGGATATATATGCAAAAAAATTATCTAGTTTCATCTAATTTCCTCCACTCCTCACCAGCATGTAAAAATATAATGAAATATTAGTATATTATATACAATATTCATCCAATAAGATAATGATAATGAAAAAATGCTGAAGCACCAATTAAGGTGTTTGTAACATTCATTTATTTCGTTGACGTTCTTTAAGATTACATGACGAACATACAATCTTATCTCATTAAAGTTTTCTTTAAATATCAGTTAATTGAAATAATACTAATATTCTCGGATTACTAAGCTAATTTTATTATTTTTAAAAACGAGATGTCCTCTACCCGTGATCACGGTTGCTGCAGAGTAACCGAAACGTCAGGAGTATGTGTATTAGTCTTAGATTTAATTATCAGTCAATTAATTTTATTTATTCCCCGTTCTCACATAATATCGTCGTCTCTTTACAATAATACTAGAAGACCCGGCGAACTTCGTATCGCTCTATAATCAAGAAATATCTGTTACGTTTTTTTATTTATATTTTTGGAGTTTACCTTTAAGCCATAAATCTCCATGTTTTGAAGTGCTACAGAAGGATTGACATATTAGTTAGTTGTCAAATCTATTGAAAAAAACGCTTGTATGGAAAATAGAAAAGGGCTGTTTTTAGGGTGTTCCCGGAAATGAAACAATTTTTTTCAGTTTTTAAACCTTCCTTAAAAGTCCACGAACATTTCAAGACTAAGATAAGATATATCCGTTCAGCCCTTCTCGAGTTTTAGTGAGACTAAAGAAAAGCAATTCATTTTTATATATAAAGATTTAAATATTTATTACTTAAAATAATAATTTAATATTGTAATAATAGGTACATACGAGTATATTTCAAAGTGAAACACATCTTGCCCCGATTCTCTCGTGCCCCAAATTTTGACCTCTGAATATGATCATTAATTATGAATAAACAATTTTTATAAAAATTACATCTGTAACAAGAATTAAAAACATTTCATGAAAACACCAAAGGTGAGTTTTAAGATTGTACATATGTAGGACTGCATATTTAGAATGCTTGCCTGTCCACACGAATAAGACGCCATATCTTAATTGGCAAAACGAGATTAGACACGGTATATCGAAATTATCAGGTTCGAGCCTTACCTACTCTGGTCGTGTCAAATTATGATGTCATAAATTATTTAATACATTTAAATTTGGATACTGTCCATAATTTTCATCTGTATTAAAACATAATATTTGACTATCATCTCGTCGAATTTTACGACATTTTAAACCTAAACATATCAGTTTCCTCTCGTATTCACTGAACTGTAAGAGGCCGGACTTCCTTCGAATGTCACATACACCAAATATTAGATGATATGATCCATCATTCCCTACCTTTGTTTCCTTTGTATAGAAAACTTGAAAATATGAATGACGGATACTGTTAATATGAAAACAAAAACATATCTAGGTATAAAAGATATATGACTTGTAGCCAAAAAAATAAATTCAATTAGTAAGTACCAGTTAAATAGACAATGTATTAAAAAAACCGCCTAGTAATATCCGAAAAACAAGATTTAAAGGAAAAAAAGCAAGAATTTTAAAGTACTATTAAAACCAACAAAACAACAATGAGACTTATCTCAGAGGTTAACATTATTAATATTCTAATTATTATAAATTGAAAAAAAAATACCGATGTTTTCATTAATATTTAAATATGTTTAATAAAATATAATTGATGATAAAAATATACAGCATACAATAACAAAATACTGCAGTGAAAATTAAATAGTAAAACAAGTCTGTTTGCGGATGTGGTTAACTTTTACTGTGTTTCCTTGATTGAAATAACTACACCTGAACTTTAAAGAGCAGAAAGTCAAGGTAAATACAGAATTTGTTCGATAAAAATCTATTTCTTCGGCATCAAAAATTCAACGTGTATTCCGTTTCTATCCACGTACACAAAAATAATGTTATCATAGAGGTAAAAACGTTTTTATTAAGACAAATCAATTAGATGTTAAAATGGAATCACTGCATACATTATTCGAACGGAACTTAATTTATTCGATATCTTATAAAGAATTGGAAATAATAGGTTTATATTTTCTTCTTTACCAAGACATAAAAAAGTCGCTGTTCACTTTAGATTATATAATTCAAAGACATGACAAATTAGATTTCTAACTCCTTACTCCTATAATGTTATATTGACATTATATTCACTCGGCATTGAATCGCATTACTTTTATATTTCACCAATAAAAAGCCGAAAAAAATATTATTGACCTTTCGCACTTGATGTTTTTTATTGGTTTGATTGATGAGGTTCTGATCCCTGCCACAATAAAAGATATTTGTATGAGCGTACAGGCAGTCCTCGTACTTACGGCATGTTAGGTTCTTGAAATACGCGACGTAAATCGAAACGACGTAAGTCGATACATATTTTTTCATATGTTTACATGTAAAACTCAAGGGTTAGGTTCCACACGGACTCGAAATAATAAAAAAACTGCATTTATAACAAAGGACTTTACGTACGTACTTTACGTACGTACTTTATTATTAAAAGTAAGGTCTTAAAATAATTATATATTATGCACTTATAAAATTGCTAGTTATTTTTGGTATTTGTGTGTTATTAATTTTAATAATAATTATAAAACTTATACATATGTAATGATAAATAATAAATTAAACTTTTGGCTTAAAGAAACTATCAATTCTAGATTGCTTGGCTTCTTTCTTCTTGCTATCATACAGATCTTGGTAACAGTGATAGGCTGCACAAATTTTGTTATTAACGTCAAAAATTTTCATGGCATTCTTCAAATTTGCAAAGGCTACGGAAAGTTTTTTTAGTGTAAGTTCTTTTTCAGAGTCACTAATAGAAGAAGCTATTTCTTGTGACTCGAGTGCTTCCTTTTGTACTTGTGCTTCCAATTCAATAAGATCTTCATCAGTCAGTTCTTCGAATGTGAGCTTAACAGATCATCAATATCATCAGTAGTAAATGCAATGTCAGGCAAACGGTTAGCGCCCCTCACGGACATTACCTTGCGACAAGTGAATTCTCCGATATGCCGGAAATCGAAACAAATGACGTATGCTTGAGGAATAGTGTCAAAACATTGTTCGACGTAACTTGAAACGACGTAAATCGAAACGACGTAAGTCGAGGACCGCCTGTATATTTTATATGACTACGTATAAAAAATATTTTCAATGTTCAAGAAAAGAAAATATTTTTCATATTCAACAGAATTCTATATCATCTGGGATCTGGCATTTCTAACGATCATTTTAATAATTAAAACCTGGCATTTACTTGGAATTTTATAATAATTATTTCTCCATGACTCCACAATATCAGCTTATTTGTACGAAGTACTTCTGGAAAGAGGAGATCATATTACCCAAGATTCTCTTCATAAACAAAAGATCATGTACGCAAACTATGAATATCTAAGTAAGAAAAATATTACTTAACATGACTTGACGAGCTTTTAGCTTAGAAAATATGTTACAAAAATTTATACGGAATGTAAAATAAAATTACTACGTACATTTTTACAGGAACTAACTAGAACATAATATACTTTTCATAAATAGGTTACCAAATCATGACTTTTTTAAAAAAGGGCTTTGCAGAGGAAATCATTACGTCTAAGGAAGCTTATTAAATTAGATGAAATTATTTCTCGTAGTAGTCTCATATTTTTTTTTATTGTGATAAATAAATCTCAAGAGTATAAATTCTTCAACCGTTATTATTTTATGTCCATCAACTTTCCATTTTCAATTTTAAGAGATTAATGTCATTAAGCAGTTTAATTTAAAACTTATACTTTATATATCGACGCCATTCCTATTATTTGAACAATCAATAATTAAGAGTAGTTAACCTTATCAACTGTCACCTGTATTACAACCTTTGCAAGTAGCCACCTATGCAAGTACAATCACAACAATGAGTCTTGGTATGGTATAAATAGAGGCGGGCGCAGATCTCTTCAAAATTTAGGTTTTGTCAAAAGTTTTAAGTATTTAGGTGTTTTTGAAAAGCTGGACAAACTAAATTTGATTTATATAAGTGAGTAATAGCTAATAATGAAAACGTAACAATTCCTTAATCAGATTAAAACTTCCACATTTGTACTTCTGATGAAGAAGATATCAATGTAACCAAACCCGTCAGCGAATGAGTAACAAGGAACTTTATTATTACTTACTTTGACTTGATCTTGCTCCCCTGCATATTCGATGCTTTGGAATATAGTCCATGTGTAGCGCCTGCGAACTTCCATTCGAGCTAAATACCGACGATACCACTGCTGAATAAGTATAGCAGCTTTCATTGCTGTGAAAAAATAATATAATTAATTTTTATAAATATATCCATATATATATTGAACGGTGATCCTATATATTTCTTCTCGACGCACAGATTTCATTAAGATTATCAGACGAATTGTATTTATCATTTTGTCACATTAATCATCTCACTAATCTTAGATTAGTTTCTTCAAGAAAGTATCTCATTACTTTCCTAAATCCAAGTAATTAACCCAGACGTAAATAGCCGAGCTTTATAAGTCATCCGTAAATTTTATAACTGCAATTTATCTTATAATTTTTCACCGAACTGCTTTATAGGATCAATTTGATTTTAAAATAGTTTGATTGTTTCTTTATGTTTAAATTTTTGATTCTGAATTGTTTGCCGTATGTGCACAACAACATGTATTGGGATTGTATTTTTGTTAGATTCATATTTTTAGCATTTGATTGATTAATTGAATATTGTGTATTAGATGTCTTTGAGATAAAACAAAGCTGCCTGGCCTTGAGAGGAAAAACAGACCGCAATTAATCTTAGACAGAATAATTGCAAATGGAAAGGAAGTAGATGTCCTGCACCCAAATTTCTGAAGCCTTGTATGTTGATTATAACAAGTTTTTTACGTAACAACAGACGCCTTTCAGATGTACATTGTAAATTTTGTTGCTATATGAAAAGTTAGTAGTAGTAATGTTTAATCTGTAATTGACTGCAATGTTATGATCAGTACTGCCGTGACTTTGGCAGAACCTACTGCATTTCTTGGAATATGTTATACATCACTATCAAAACCTGCTGATAGTACGACTGATGTTACCAAATTTTATAAGCCTGTAAAACAACGTAGAATATAATAAGTCAAAATGAGGACAATAAATTCAATATCTCGTTAAATTTTAATAAAGGAAACATTAAAGCAAAATACACATTAGGATAATATTAAAATTACAGTCTCCGCATTTTAGATACAAGAATCCGTCTTATTGAAGAAAATTCTTACGACTACCCACGGTCGCCTAAAAATTTGGTTCCAAATGTTTCGTTACCCTAAACCTAGAAGTTATACAAAAATATGAGAGAAATTATGGGCTTTGTAATTTAGGCTTTGTTCTTTTATACAACGCACGAATCCTTAAGCTAATTCTCTCCGTGAAAATGGTGGTACCAAATCAGACGTGAAATAAACGAGAGCCAACTGCTATTGCCACAACTAAATTTCGGCTGTATTAATTTTAACCAACCATGAATAATAAGAATTTTAATATTTTATTGAAATTAATTATTCATTTATTTGTCGTTTAAAAAACAAAAGATTTTTTATATTGGAAAGCAACAAAATCTGAAAGTGACAGCTGTTTAGAAGAGAGAAAATATCAAAGGAAATATCTATAATTTCAAACGACTAAGCTATGGTTGATTCAAAACGTAGTTTTAGAAACTCGTCAAATGTATAAAACTGTTGTAACGGAATCAACTATCATAAAATAATTTCTTAGAGAAATTAAAATATTACTGGAAATGCCATCTTAAGACCCAGTTTCACCATCAATGTTTGTTTTATCTAAACCCAGAATTTGCTAACCAACCTTCAAAATTATAAATGTCTGTTAAATTTTTACGTCCCACGATGACAAATTAACAACGCATTATTAAACGTCCGCGTCATGTCAAATGACCGACTACCAAATTATTCGTTCTTGTTATAAGACGACCAAATGAAAACTATAGTTTTTAATACTTCACGTTTGCCACTATACACCACTTTATACTTTGATCGTATATATCCCTCGATACGTCACTTGTAAGCTAATACGACCAAATTTTATATATCGTTGGTTGCATACATTTAGCACACAAAAAGCTTTCTTTTCAATTTACTAGGTGTAACTTGTCAAAATCGTGTTGTCAATAAATTGTGTTATACATATATTATTGTGTTATAAATATAGACATAAATTGTGTTCAAATTATAAGAGATAAAAAGAAAATTTAATTAACAATGTCATAGAAAAGCTGGAGGCAAAATCATCATAGGAAATGAAATTTTAATTCACTTTATCAATAAGTACAAGGAAACTCACAAAACGGATGACGTTACTATGGTTACAAGGAATCAGGGCTGTGATTGGACAATTGAGTTTTGCCAATGCATTAACAGTCTGTTAGCCATTAGACGGAGCTCTAGAGCAGGAATTAATATTAGTGGCTTGGTAAGACATTTAAATGGACATTTGTGCGTGGTGGGGCGCTCGATGCATCTAACAGACCATCAAACGCCTTAACAAGATGTTACTTATTTAACAAGGATTGGTGACACTGGGTCTAAAATATATTCATATATTACATGAATTTTAAGATAGATATATTATGTATTTGAGGAACATCAATTTTAAGACTTTTAGGGACGTACTATAATGTTAATTTTAAATATTTTTATTTTTCTTCCGTTTTTTTATAATAATTTTGTGTTATCACTGAAAAGTGGAAATTATTAATTTTATTGTTATTTAAATTTCTAAACCCAAAAACTGACATACTTGCATTCAAATGCTAACTTGGGTATTCGGGATATGGAAAATCTCTAGGGATCGTCCCTGGGTAGAAATGGGTCCCTGGTCACAGTGAATGTTAGAATAAGATATAATAATTTTAATATAAATTTGATATGAAACATAATATATCATAATATTTATAATTTTGGCAACTAATTTTATTTTATTTAGTTTAGTACGTAAGAAAAATAATTGGTTTATCATATGATATTGAATTAATGAATTGGCTTATTAAATTGAATTATGAACTGGTTTATCATATGATAACATTTATAATTATTCTTATGTTGAACTAATCTAATGCAGCAATTAAGGGTGTAAAGTCCAATAAGTCGTATTTGTCTTAATAAGACTACAAAAAACTTTTCTTATTTTAAGAAATATTATAATTAAATTAAATTGTATACCGAGTTTATCAGAAAATGTATTTAATATTCTCATTGTTTCGCTAGCGATATGAGTAATGAAGTCAAATTTATGAATTTCATACATTAGAATATTCATGAAATCTATTCAAACAATAGCGAGTAGCTAACTATTAAATTTATTATTAAAGAATACGTTTATGGGCCAGAGTAGAAGCCTTTAAAATTAATAAAAGTGAAAAAAATAATAACGGTATGAAACACATTAGAAAAGGAGGGGAGTATTATAAAAATTAAAGGAAAAATAATTTACGGGCAATCTGAGGTCGGGAAGGGTTTTTGGGTGGGTGTTCTTTTTTCTTTTTTAAGGAGAAAATCATCAAATGACCCCTTTGTCCTAGGTAGAGCAAAAGGGAGTGTCAGACTCCTACTGACTAAAACGACTAAAAACCCCCCCTACCTACTCCTGCTCCGACCCTGGCCGCGGGACATCATTTAGCTTACACCTGCGACTCGGCCTGGCATCGGCTCTAGGGCCCCATCTGTGGTGGTCGGACGGCTTTATGAGGCGAACGCGGTACGCTACGCACCGTACTCTGGGATCTGGGTTTTGCTCGCCGTCCGCAGACCCGCGCTTACGGTGGGTGGAGATCATCCCGCGATCCCCAACGCCTGAAGCGTCGCCTGCGGCGGCTGGGGCATGAGGAGGATCTTTCCCTCACGCGCTCCGCATCCTCCTTTGCTAGCACGACTTCTTTGCAGAAGAAGGAGACGGCTTCCCAGTTCCTCTTGTTCCGCACCATGGCCTGAACTAAGGGCGGACGCGAGAGATCGCTGCTGCTGCTGATGGCTACCCTGAGAACACGGCGGTGCTCAGCCCAAGCTGAACAGTCCGCCAGGGTATGCCCCACCATGTCCTCTGGTTGGTCATCACAATATCGACACCCATGGGGGTGGGTATTAAAGCGTAAAAAACGGGTTTACTCGATTTCAGGCAAAACTGAAAGTCCTACCGAAAAACGTTATAACGCAAAGTTATAACGTTTTTAAAAAACTAAAACTCTTTAACATAATTTAAAAATTTATGTGAAAAATTCATTTTGTAATTCAAAACAAGAAAAAAGCAAAGAAAAGAAAAGAAGTAATTAAAGATGCTCTTAGATTTAATTTAGAATCGGTGCATTATTCCTAATTCGGTACTATTTCAAAAGAAAGAATCTGTTCAAAGCAAAGATACGAGAGACAATACATTACAGTATATTCGAAAACAAAACAAATTAAATGATTTCGATAAAAAACAATCAGTTCGTTTTATAAATGTACCTGATTTAGTCCCAGAGCATTATCGCACTGCTTGTTTGTATGTATAAATGTAATACACAAATTTTTATATCAAAAGAACTGAAAGAAAAAGCGGTCACTCAGCATGTGAAAGCACTAATGACTAAGAAATGCACAAATTTATTTTCAAATTGTCATGATTCCGAAAATTGCTCCAATATTGAAGAAGAAACCTACAGGAAGTTAATGATTTGTTACTTATGAAGATTTTGAAGATCTACTAGAACCGAAGAGGTTTGTCGAATGTAACGTTGAAAAATGCCATCAAAAATACAAAAAATAATGGATAAGTGAAAAGAATAGAAGATAAAATATTTATGAAATGATAAGATTAATGTATCTACATTCAGTAGTACGATTTCAATTTAAATTTATAATGACATAAATATAATAAGCATTTTAATAAAAAAAATATTATTGAAGCAAATTGCAATTACATTTTTAGATCAAATTACATATTTATAAAGATTAAAATAAAATTTTCGAATTCGAGTTTATCTCGATTTTTTGCATCTTCTGAGAAAATTTATTTAAATTACAGTATATTTGGGACAATTACAGGTAAGTTTTCACCAAATTTCCTACAAAATATTGTCTTTTGAAAAAGATAAAAATAAACTACCAAAAACTTGTTTCTATGAATTTTTCAAATAAATTTTGAAGTTATGTGAAAATGTTTTATATCTTTTTATTACCAGCAACTTTGGCATATAACTTTCTTCCATAGGACTTTTAGTGTTGCTGGAAATCGAGAAAAACCGTTTTTTAACCTTACATACCTCATCCAATACCCTTCCCCACCGCAGATCGCCCGTAAATTATTTTACCGTTAATTTTTATAACACCCCCCTCCTTTTCTAATGGGTTTCATCCTACTATATTTTTTTTTATTTAAAAGTTATCGACACTAATCTATTAGTAATTCAGTGTAAAACTATGGAATTTGAAAATCTACCCAATCATATAAATATCATATCATTTTTTTGGATAAATTTAGAGACCCTCACCAACTTGGACGCGCACCCACACACACACACACACACACACACACACACACACACACACACACGCACGCACGCACGCACGCACGCACGCACGCACGCACGCACGCACGCACGCACGCACGCACGCACGCACGCACGCACGCACGCACGCACGCACGCACGCACGCACGCACGCACGCACGCACGCACGCACGCACGTACGCACGCACGCACGGACGCACGGACGCACGCACGCACGGACGCACGCACGCACGGACGCACGCACGCACGGACGCACGCACGCACGGACGCACGCACGCACGGACGCACGCACGCACGCACGCACGCACGCACGCACACACACACACACACACACACACACACACACACACACACACACACACACACACACACACACACACACACACACACACACACACACACACACACACACACACACACACACTCTCTTTTACTGAATCGTTGAAATAAATCGATGTCCACGATACAGGCCTAGCCTAGTGTGGACGTCAAAGTTTTTATTGTATGTATATTGCAGTGTAAAGTTTTTACAAATTTATAAATGGAATAAATAAATAAATAATAATGAAAATATATAGCAAATGTAAAAAGTAAATAATGTAATTCATTACATTATAATATAAAAAGATAAATATTGTAATATTTTCGACAAGTTTCATACTTTCAAAATGGTACAAATTTAATAATATCACAAAAATCAATTTACTAATACGATGATATAATTCGCTCTAATAGACTCATATACATATATATCGATACAGATAGCACGCTCCAGTAAACTTATTTGGTGATTAAATTCATTAAACAAAACTGATTCTCATATTATTTTGAAAGTCACATTTAACAGTTATTAATATCCATCAGTTTTATGAGTGCTAGACCACATGCTGGCAGTTCTAAAAAAAGTGGGTGACACAACGGTACGACTTATTTCGGTTTAGTCAATCCGTAGCGTTTCAATGATATCTGTAGCGTAGAATTTAATTTTGATACGAGTGAATTAACAATTATTATTCTTCTTAATACTTACTTCTTTCAGCTTTGGTCATGCTGACATCATCTTTTTTCCAAAATTTCAAAAATGGTGCCAAAGCCTTCATGGTGCAATCACCATTAAGCATCCGCTTGCCTATCTTCTTCGGTACTTCCTGTTCTATTTCTGAACTCCGACACGAAGAAGAATCGTCTCCCAATGAACGTGCTCGCCGTCCTCCTCGAAAGCTGACACATCCGCAACCTTCCGTAAATGAAAACATCTTGGGACTTTTGTCCTTTCTATACTTCTTATCTCTTCGCTTCCGAGCACATTTTGGAGTTTTTTGACGTGTTTTAGGAATGGTGACAACTTGGCGATTCTATGATCAGAATAAAAATCATGACCAGTCGACTCGACCAGTACGATCTGAAAAAAAAAATCATCATCTATAATGGAGTACAGGTTTATGAAAACAGTTCTTTTGACTTAAAAATATTTTTCTAATACAAATTTATATGGCTATTTATGTTAGGTTTTGAATATGAAAACTTTTAAAATGGATCTAAGAAAATACAATATTTTCCAAAGATGATAACTACACTATTCATAAGGATGTGGGTCCTATACAACTTCTATATTTTTTTAATTACAATTAAATATGACAAAAAATTGTGTTTAAAAGATATTTTGTTCATCTTCCACTATATTTTAAACTAAACAAAATAAAATGATACCTTAATTTCAACTATATGTTGTTATGATTTCACACAAAACAGACCCTTCATGATGTATACATCAAATAATATTTTATACGATATTCATAGAATATCTTGTGAAAAGATAAGAATATTCATACATATTCCTATTCATACACGAGCTTTTGTATTAATAAACTCAGTAGCATTAAATTTATTTGAACTATAGAAAATGTTATAGTAAACCATTAATAGCCAGCGTAATTACATTTCTCCTTTTATAAAACCGTCACGTATCAAATGTTGGGTGATAGAATATCTGTAAATTAGGTTAAAATATTTGAGTTTATAGACCGCTGACCACGCTAATTATAGGTACTATAACGTAATGCTAAATAAACGAACGGGAAATCTTCAAATTCTGTATAAGGTAAGACCAGGATCGTGTTAAATAATATTAGCACTAATTAATAAATATATTTTAGAACTAAACTATTTAAAAAAAAAAAATCACGTCAATTTTGATTGATGAAAATATTAATTGATCATTTGTTTAGCCAAGACCTCACAAAATAGGTCGTCATTACAGCTATTTCGAATTTTCTTTTGAAATCAAATCAAGATAAGCGGATAATGTAAGAGTTTTGACTGAAAGGTTTTCTTACCTTTGCGACGTGTAAAAGGTGTTTGATCAATAAATGCGGTAAATATAAAAAGGGATTTGTATAACATTCCAAGACTGACTGGAATCTCAGACATCATACAGCTCAGTACATTCCTTTCCAAAAGGTAATGACATACTTAAGGCAGTTCTGACATTAAGTGGGCTTTGAAGAAGAACCTATTTCCGTTTGATCCTTGTAATAATTCATTCCTTTTCTCTGAATGTCCCAATTATTGTAAATGATTGTATTGAAGTTTTCTTTGTCAGATACAAATAAATTAACTATGATAATGTTACATGATACTACACCTTTACTTTTATAGTAAAAAAATATATTATAAAAATGGTTGTTGTTGTCAAAACTACGTTAAAGAGAATATTAATGCCATATAGGCGATGGTGTCTTAATATTCCATATAAGGTGTGATAATATTCCATATAGGCGATGGTGTCTTCATATAACACGGTATTTAATTGGTTTATTGATAATATTATTTTTTACTAAAGTTCCTTGAACTACGACTATTTTGTGCTTGTTTGCGCAGCGTAGATAGACTACCCACTGGATGGATCTACAACGTGATCACGCTCAATTGATTTAAATATTATCTTTTTCAAATATTGTATATATAGTGTATTATTTAAATTTTATACGAAACCAAAATATTACTGATTTTTTTTTACCTATCTATTATAGGCAACAGTACCGAAAATTTTCGTTTCCTTTTAAGAAAAATGAACTTAAACAATCTCTGATATGTAAATAAAAGTAAATAGCACAACTGAATAAGATCATGGATTTGTGATATCTGCCATCTCACTTGTTATACCTATCGTAGCATCCGCTGATGATATTTTTACAATACAGCTTCATTTAGGCGTTAGGCTACCTCGCGTTGACCTATTTGGAATAAAAATTTGATATATAAATATTTTTATCAAGTTTCCCTTTTCAGACTAAACGATTCAGACTTCATTTGTATATTTATTATAGCCAATAATACAGCGGTATGATTAGCATTATATTGTAGGTAAGATTTTCCATTGTATAAATTTTTTATATAAAAGCTTAATCAGAAGAACATGCACACTGTTATATTTTCATTTTGCTTTAGCCTTTTCAATACGCCTAACGAACTTAGTGTTGTAATCTTAAAAAAATTCAGTATATCTGTAATAAATATTCAAGATAATAAGATTCAAGATATTCAACGTAAGTTAATTTATTTTCATTCAGAAAAAATTCTTAAACTGAAGGACACTATGATATAAATATTTTTGTATTTTCAATTGAAGGTCTTAATTCTCTAGGTCATTTGTTTTTTTTTTTACTGCCATTTGCAATGAGCATCTGTCATGACCAACTAATTCTGCTTAATAACAATTACTTACTAGGACCATATCAAATTATTTTTATATTAAAAATTATTTTTTCACAAATACTATAATAATGCCAACTTACTTTGCTTAGAGTATAGTAAATTGGAGGTATAAGAATACTCGCTTTAAAAACTAAAGGCGTTTTTAAATATTAAATTGTAGTAGTTTCATAAATGTGTCTTTTCTCCGCCATTCAATCATTCTGCTTGTAGAAGTTTCAGTGAACAAAATAAATTTGTTCTTGGAGCGTATATCATATTGTTACAATAGGTTTAGGTACATAAAGTCTGAAATATAGTCTGAGGAGGGCTTAAACTGCTGAGTTAGAAGAATTCTCACGCAATCAAGTTTCCAGCAACAATTTTAGAAGTTTAAAGGATTCGTAACTCAATACTGTAGAGAAAGTATTGTATTATCTATAAGCACTACATTGAACAAAAATATATATATATATCAAAATAAAACTAAACATGTAAATAATATAGCATGAAAAATGTCAGATAAAAAAACAAGAATGTACCTGAACTAACAAATTAAAAAGTTGTATTATATAACTATAATAAAGAATAAAGGAAAAAAAATTAAATGAGAAGAGTAAGGAGAAGAAATTGAGATTCTACTATATATCGAAATAACAGCCAACAAGCCATTACTTGTAAAGTAGAATTGCTCCTCATAAAAATATAAGATAAACAGCATTTACGACGTTTTGCGTTTTGTATTTTATTTGCGTAATCAAAACTGTATAAGATATATGGTACAAGTCTACACCCACAGTTTTATGTATTGACAGTAACGTAGATAAACTGAGATAGAAAGCAATTAAAACTCTCATAACCATCTTTACTTTGTTTACATGAGTTAAGAAGTTTTCATCTAGTTAAACAAGGTATGTATGTTAAATTTTTTTTTATAATTATAATTGTAGTACTTATCATGACTTGCGTGTTACACAAACTGATACCTTTAAAACATGTTTAATTTTTTTATATTTAATATGAAAGATATGACGCTATTATTAAATAAATAAATAATGTATTGAGGTTAAAAACCTCTTTTTGTAAATAAAACAAATATTTTTCGGATGTACTACGCGTTTTTTTAAAAACTGAGTGTTTTTTAAAAAAGCGTGGTACATGTGAAGTTAGTTTCATTTAAATAAATAATTGCGAAAATCTTAGATCATATTACGTGAACCCCCATTTTACTTTTCATTCGGGGTTAAATTATTCATTTTTCAATATATACTGAATTCGGGATTTTTCATTTACCAATATATATTGAACCGCAGAAACAGATTTATCTACATTTATCTAAGCTAATCCTTATAAACCTCTAAATATTCCTTTTACTATTATAAAAAATGTTTATGTTCAATTTAAAATTATAAGAATTATTTATTAATCGTCATAATCCGATATCCAAAATTCCATTAAAACGAGACTCACTAACCAAATATGTAATTATAATGGAGTACAAATAAGTTTCAGCCATTTGAATGTAAATGGCTCTTCACGGAGTGTCCCTTGGCTTTTGCAGATAATAATCCGCTTAAAAGAGAGTTTGGACATTCAAAAACAACATAACCAATTAATATCATTGATTTAATATTCGTAAAATATAATTTTTATTAGTTGAAAATGTCAATATTTGAGCAAAGTAAGCGTCATTTACGGGAAATATTAGCCTACTTCTTTAATTTAAAGAAATCTGCTACTGAAGCGCATAGGTTACTCGTAGAAGCATATAATCAGGGTGCTTTAAGTGAGAAAACTTGTCATGAATAGTTTGAAAAAGTTTAAAAACTATAATTTCGACTTCGAAGACAAAGTTCACAGTGGAATTATTAGTAATACGAAAAGAACTTGCTCTAACATTAGAAGTCAATAAGCAAGCAGTCTTACAACGTCAAAAATCATTAACAATGGTTCATAAATAACGAAATAGGGTGCCATAAGTATTAAAGCCGAGAGATATTGAACGCCAATTATGCTTAAGTGAAATACTAAGCTACACATAAAAAAGGATTTTTACATCGTATCGTAACTGGTGATAAGAAGTGGATATATTATGACTATCCAAAAAAGAAAATTTCATGGGGATTACCTGGCCACACGTCAACATCAAGAACAAAACCGAATATTTACGGAAAAAAACTTATGCTTTGTATTTGGTGGAATCAGCTAGGAGTATTGCATGAGCTGGTTAAACTAGCGAAACAATTACTGGAGCCCTATATCGAAAACAATTAATGAAATTGAGCCGAGCTCTCAAGGAAAAACGCCCTCAATACTATTCTAGATACGAAAAAAATTATTCTCCTGCATAACAATGCTCGGCCACATCTTGCGGCTCCCGTAAAAAAGTATTTGGAAACACTTGATTGGTAAATTTTATTCCATCCGATATTGCACAGATATTAATCAGATATTGCACAATCCAATTATCACCTGTTCCGGTCCCATGGCACATGCTCTGTCTTAGTTGAAAAAATTGGATTGATTCGTTTATAGCATCAAAAGAAAAAAGATTTTCAGACGT